CCGCTCCCGGTGCCGCTCCCGGTGCCGCTCCCGGTGCCGCTCCCGGTGCCGCTCCCGGTGCGATGGGAGCAGCGCGATGGGGGATCCGCCACCCGGGGGGATCCCGGGCGGGGCGAGTCCTGCGGCGGGTCCGGTGCGAGGAGCTGAGCTCGTCCCCGGAGATGGGACTCGGTCCCCGGGGATGGGATTCGGTCCCCTCGGTGACCCGGAGCCCCTTCCCGGTGGCACAGCAGGGATCCAGGTCACCGTCCTGCTCTGCCGCTGTCCCAGGCCGGGGTCTCTGAGCCTGGGAAGACCCTCAAAGGCAGGAGCCCCCCGAGGGCTCCAGCAGGTCTGGGTGGGAGCAGGGACCCTGTCCTGTCGTGCGTTGGGACAAGGCAGAAGTGCCAGCCCAGCACCTCCAGACCCGAGTCCGGGTGGGATGGGGGGCAGTGGGGGTGTTCTTGTCCCTGCTGTACCCCGGGAGCTGTGCCCGTTCCTGGGTCACTGTTGGTCCCCAGCACTGGAACATCCCTCTCCAGAGCCGGAGCCCGGGATGCTCCCAGGAGCACACCTGCTCCCTGCCCTGCTCAGTGTGTTTTCCCAAGCACTGTGGTGCTGCTCCAGCTTTCCTTGCTGGATTTGAGCATCCAAAGGCCAAGCAGAAGCTTCTCCAAGACGAGCAGGCTCAGCTCAGGGCTGGGGAACAGCTTCAGCCCCTCGGGGTTGTTTCCTCAGGGGGCTGTAACGGGGCTGCAGAGTTGGGGTGTCCATAACCCACTGGGAGGCCGTGGGGAGAGAGGGAGGCTCCGTGCTGGGGGGTTGTTTTGGATTTCCCAACCTGGGACCCCCCCGCTCTGCTCCGGTGGCACTGCTGGGACACGGTGGGGACACTGCCAGGACATCCCTGCCCCGGCCATGGGGAAGGAGGTGTTTTCCCTCTTTGCCTGGTGTGTGCCAGGTGTGTTCATGGTGCCGTGGGCTCGGACCCTCTCTGAGAACGTGACTCCAAACGTCGCCTCCTTCCCTCTGCCCCCGGAGCGGTGCCGCGGCGCTGCGTCGTTCCCGGGGTGTGCGTGAGCTGGAGCTCGTTAAGAGGCAGGAAAATGGGTCTTGCCTAAGTTAGCACATCGAGCTGGCAGGATGAATTTGTCACTGGATAAAAGGGCACCTGAGCTCCCCGGGGAGCCGCGAGAGGAGCCCGGGGCCCATTTGTAACGCCTGCGACACCTCCGCAGTGGGCTCCCGCCAGAATTCCTGCGTGGAAAATACCACCCTTGGAAGAGCTTCTCCTGCAAGGAATTAGAGATGGCAGCCAAAGCCCCTGCCAGGGGAGGGAATCAGACTCTGTGGCGTAGGTGCTCATGGGCTGTGGAACAGAGATGCTCCCGCTCGTCTCACAGCGGGGCCATGCGTGTCCTTCACCGGTTCGTCCTCGTGATTCGAGCGCGTTTTGCCCCAGAAACAACCCAGCAGCTCCTCTTGCAGGGCCCACCAAGCCCCTCCAGACCCTGCTGGGCCTGGCCCCAGCTCTTGGATGATGGGCTTTGTCCCACAAGACGGTGCAGCCATCGAGAGCAGGAGCAAAGCACCTTCAGCCTTCGCTGGGGAGGGTTTGTGTTCACTTGCTCACTTCGTTTTAGGGCCGAGGCAGCTGCAGGGCAGAGTCCTGCCAGGGACCCCCCAAAGCCTGTGGGAAGACGCCGCAGTGGGTGCAAGGTGTGGACATCTGTTCTGTGAAAGCCTTCCCTGTAACTGCTGCTCATTTCTGGCTCCTTCCAAGTTGTGTTGTGGGGTTTTTTTTCCTCTCCCGCAGCAGATGGGAGCTGCTAAGCTGTTGCAGTGGTGTTGAAGTTCTCAGGGATGATTTGTGTGCCTCGATACCTTTGTCTTTTTTTTTTTCCTACAAAAGAGGAAGAAGGTGTTACCCCCACCCGGGGGGTAACTGAGGCAGGGGGGGATGGAGCCCCCGGCCCGAGGTCGGGGCAGTGCTGGGGGCAGAGCCGTCCCCTGAGTGGCGGCTGCGCTGCCTCCCCCGGGCAGTCTTGGCTCCGAGGCAGGGCTGGGAACTGCTAAAATGGAAATACCCGCTGAGAAGTGACGCGCTTCCCTCCCCGGAGCAGCTCAGGGCTGGGAGCAGGAGCTGGGCTGAGCCCATCCCGTTTATTGACCGACTTCAGCCTCTTTCTGTCGGCAAATTGATCCCAAACGACTCCTTGAACCAGCGCCTGCTCCGGGCTGGGTGGTTTGGTGGCTGCACCATCTCTGCAGCCCCTGAGCCTGCTGCCAGCTCTGCCTGGGGGTGGTGTGGGCAGGGCTGCCCGTGCAGGTGGAAAGCCAAGGTTCTGAGGTGTGTGGAGTTGGCTGACCACCTCCAGCCCCTCCAGCCCCGCACTGACCATGGCACAGCCACGCTCGCCGGGCTCACAAAGCTGCGTTTTGCTTGGAATGAGACTTTCTAGCCCCGGAGCTTATGGAGGAAATCCAGGAGCGAGCCCAGAGCATTAACCGAAAGGCTTTAGAGCCAAAAGGCAAAATATCAACTTCCTTTTCCAATCTCCTCCTCTTCAGCAAGCGGGAAGGCTGTTCCCTGCTCCTGGCAGAGCTGCCGTGGGCTCCTGCCCTTGGCACGGGCACGGCTGCGTGTCCCATCAGTGGGGGCTGCCCTGCCAAGGGGTCTCCTGCAGCCTGGAGCTGCACCACCCAGCTGTCCAGGTGTCCAGTTCCAGCTGTTCCTGCTGCCCACTGTGGCTTGTCCCTGCAGCAACCCCTCCTCACCCACCAGGCCCCCCCACAGCGGCTCTCGGTGCCATCCGGGGTCTGGGAGCTTGTGTTGGTGGTTATGAAACTGCTCCTGGGTGCACCAGGAGCTCAGCTCAGCACTTTTCCCGTTCCTAGAGGAACACTTTCATACAGAACAGTTTAACCTGGAGCAAATTAGGGAAGACTGAGCCAGCAGCACCAGTAACAACTGCAATCCCCTGCCTGGAGCAGTGTCCCCCCTGCCAGGCCCGGTCCCCTGCCTGTGCCGCTGGTGGCACCTTGCCTGGGTTTTATTTGCCTTGTGGAAGTGTCACCCTGTGCCTGAGGGGACAGGAGCACAGAGCTCCATCCTTGTCCTTGCTGCGTGTTTGGTGCCTTTGGATCCCCATGGACGTCGTGGGGACAGAAGGGTGGCAGGTCCTGTCAGAGCCCCGGTGCAATCCTGGCACTGGCTGGGTGATGCCAGCCAGGGCTCTCCTCGGCTCAGGGCTGGCCGGGCACCTTGGGGCCGTGAGAAATCCCATCTGGCTCGGGGCAGCAGGACAGAGGGGGCGGGATGTGTCCCCTGTGCTCTGGGCAGGGACCAGGGTGCTGGCAGCTCGTCTGTCCCAGAGCATCCCTGTGCTCGGATACTGTTATGGCAGAGGGCTGAGGTGGGCAGAGGGTCTGTCACCCCCGCTTTTGTGTCCCCTGCCTCGTCACACCCCTCCACCATTGCTTGCAGAGTAGGAAAGCCCTTCCCTGCCATGCCGGGGGTGGCACTGTGGTCACTGCCTGCAGCAGCCCCAAATCCCAGCCCTTGCCATCCCACCCAGGACTGTTCAGAGGGCTGGAGCCCTGGCTGGTTTGCAGGGAAGGTGCTCCTGCCCTTGCCATCCCACCCGGGTCTGTTCAGAGGGCTGGAGCCCTGGCTGGTTTGCAGGGAAGCTGCTCCTGCCCTTGCCATCCCACCCAGGTCTGTTCAGAGGGCTGGAGCCCTGGCTGGTTTGCAGGGAAGCTGCTCCTGCCCTTGCCATCCCACCCAGGTCTGTTCAGAGGGCTGGAGCCCTGGCTGGTTTGCAGGGAAGCTGCTCCATCCCTGCTCAACGCTGACCCTCCGGCGCCTGCTCGGAAAAACCTCATTTCAAACTCCAGGCGTTTAACTTGTCCCCCCCAGGGCCGTGGGGGTGGCACGGCCACAGCCAGAGGGGCTGGAGGCTGTGCCCCCTGTGCCCTTTGAGGGCTGGCCCCGCTCGCCTTTCCTGGGTTTGAAAGGGGAGCTGGTTTGGGGGCAATGCCAGCGGGAAGAGGAGCAGGCACAGCACTTTCCCGGGCCCGGCGCGGTGTCACCGGGGCATAAAATTAAGCGGCTTCGGCGCAACATGAAACTGTGCATTGATTTTCCTTCCTGGCTTTTTCCCTTTTCCCGTTTTGCTGCTCCTGTCGGACCCCCCCAGCCCAGCACGGGAGGTGCCAGTTTTGAGGATGGGGTTGAGCCCCATTGCCAGGGGGTGCTTCACTGCCAGGGGGTGCAGGGGTGGTGCTGAGTCACCCTGGAGAGCTTTTGGATCTCTTCCCCCCCCCCAACTGCGACTCTCGGGGTGAGGCCCCAAACCTGCCCCCTCTGCCTGTGGGTGCTGCTGCCCTCCCTGCTTTGGGGGTCCCAGCCTGCCTGGACTTCTTGGGGCCACTCATGTTGCTGCACCCCAAATGTCCCCATCCCATCCCTCCCTGGGCGCTGGAGGAGGGTGCCAGCCCCGATCCCTCCCCAGGGGTGCAAGGCCCAGCGGGCACAGGAGGTGCACTGGAAAACACTCTGGTTTCTTCCCCCCCCTCCAGCCCAGCTCTTTGCCAGATGATTCAAGAGCAAAACTATCTCGGCTGCTCCGTGTGAGTGTCTTGGCACCATCCACAGGAGCCTTGTGACCGTGCTCCCCGTGGGGACCGCGGGGCCGGGGGGCTGGGGGTGGCACTGGGGTGCAGACACGTGCCATGCCAGCGTGATGGACAATGCCATCAGCGGGATCTGGCTCCCAAAGAACAAAGCTGTTGGGGCCACGGGCTCGTGTGTGCTGTGGGACGTCATCTGGACGTCACCCTGCTGCCGTGGGTGCTGCAGGGTCCCTGCCGTGGGATGCAGCCTGAAGACAGGCTCTGCATCCCAGCTCTGCTTCCAGCCTCTGTCAGGGCACTGGGAACACCCCATCCTGCCTCACCCCTGGCTGTGGGGGCGAGGAGGGCTCTGGGAGCAGTGCCCTTCCTCTGCTGCTGCTGCTAACCGGGCCAGGGCCAGGCTCTGAGCGTGTGCTGGGGTTTGTGGTGTCAGAGCTGCAGCGGGGCTGGACGGCTCCCGACTCCAGCTCTGGTTTCCCTGACCGTGGGGAAACACTCGGAGCTTTTCTGCTTCTCTTCTTCGCGGCGTGGGACGGACCCTGCCATGGTTACGGGCGCAAACAGGGCCGCTACACCCCGGTTATTTATATCCCCCGGAGCAGACAGGCCTCCTGCTCCACCTCTCCTGGAGGGCTGCTGGGGCGAGGGATGGGGATTTATGGGACACGCTGTTTATACAGCTGCAGAGGGTGCTCGGGGAGCCGGACCTCGCGGGATGGGGAGCCTGGAGGGTGAAACACCATCCCCATCCTCATCCCCACCAGAGCCGGGCTCGGGCGGTTTTGCTCTAAACAGGCGTTTCCAGCGGTGGCACAGCTGTGGGTACGGCCCGGGGCACCGTGACGGGGCCGGGCTTGGCCGGGGAAGGGAGTCGTGCCGTTCCCGGAGCCTGCCTGCTCGCTCATCCCATGGCTGGGCTGTTTATCCTGCGGCGCGTGGTGTTTTCCTTCCGCTGAGTTATCACCCGGCACTGCCTGTGCCCCCGGCTCGGGGCTTCCCTGCAGGGCAGGGCAAAGCGGGGGCCGGGCCAGCCCTGCCGGGGCACGGGGCACCCAGTGTCACCCCCGTCCCCGTGCTGGGGGCTGGGGGGCACAGCTGGGCGGGCTGTTCCAGCCCCATCCCGCCGCACGGGCTCCGAGGATCGCGGCCCGTCGGCGGCGGGTGCCAGGGCACAGCTCGTCCCCGGCTATACCGGGGTGCAGCCGGGTGGGCACTGGGTGCCAACCGGTGCCCCCTTGCCCAGCACAGCTCTTCACCATCCGGGACCGACTTGGCCCTGCTTCCCCTGAGCTCAGCAGCTTTCCCAGCTCACCTGTTCCTCCGCCGGCTCGGGGAGCAGCATATGGCAGAGTCCACCCTAATGAAGATTAATGGGAGGAGATTCACCTGCTCCGAGCCGGGCCCCTGCCGCGTTTTAATTATTATTTTGGGGAGGAGTGTTGCTGCAGACGGGCTCTGCTCCTGCTGGGTGACAGCAGCCGGAGGGGCCCGTCCCTGTGCCCAGGCTGCTGGTGGCACATCCCCTCCCGTGCTGGCAGGGAGGGGTGTGGGACTCTGCGGGGAGGGGGCTGGAGATGGGAAGTTTATTGGGGAGAGGTGAAACAGTGGCTCAGCTACACCAGCATCTGCTCCCTCCGTTCCCCGGGATGCTGGAGCAGGGGAATGGGGAGACAGCGAGGCTCCTGCCGGGTGCTATCCCACTATCTCTGCCCTCTCCCCATTTCCCTGGCGGCGTTCCTTGTTTTTTAAGACCCCTTGGTAAGTGGGAAGAGCAGTGAATTGGGGTGGGGAGCCTGGTGCTGCCGTCACACCGTGGTCTTTGACGGGGGGGGTCGGTGTGGGATACCCCCTTTGTAGTGGGGTGGAGCTGCTGAGAGCAGCATTCCTGCCCCGGAGGAAGGGGGGAATGCTGATTCCCGGCTTCCCGCGCCGCCTTCAGGCATCTGACCCTTCCCTAAGCCGCTTAGGCGCTGCCGGCGGCCGGGCCGGGGCGTTTGCCCAGGCTTTACGAGTTAATTCCTAGCAGGTGATGCGTTCCCAGGAAGTTTCTTTCCCAGCCGGCCCCGTGGGGCCTCTCATGCCTGTATCCTTCCCCAAATCCCGTGGGATGCCGAGGGGGCCGGGTGGGAGGTATCCCCGCCGCGGCGGGGCAGGTTTCCAACCCGGTGGGTGAGGTGTGGGGCTCCGGCTCGGTACCAGAGCCAGGGCCACCCACAGCAGGTCCCCGTGGGATCAGCGTGTGCCCGGGCCCCGGAGACCCCCCCCTGCACCGCTCCCTGGATGAAGAGGGAGGCACAAATCTTTGCAGGCTGGGAGATTTCTGCCTTCTCTTCTGCTTTGTGCTTCGCTGCCCGTGTAATTGCCTGCGAAATCCTGCTTGGATAATCTTTATTGCTGATGATGCACAAAGCTGAGAGCTCTACCCTGGGCCGTGTTTTCCTCCTCAGCCCGGTGCCCAGTGCTCCCTGCCCACAGCACGGGGGCACCGCTGTGCCCGCAGGGGTTAATTCCAGAACTGCTGTGCCAGAGGAAAGAGCCCCAATTAATAATTCAGAGGGCGAAGGAACTGGCTCCAACCTTCTGCCTTGCGGGTGGGGAGTGCCCGGGAGAGGAGCATCGTCCTCTGCAGCGAGGGCAGGGCGGTGACAAGGCTGTGACACCCCGGGCCCCTTGGTGCCTGTTGGTGTGTGGCTCCAGCTCTCCCTCCTCCAAGCTCTGCATCCAGCACTTCTCCCACTCCCTGTGGTTTCTCTGCTGTCGGTCCCATCTCCAGCAGCACTTTTGGGGAAGGGGAACCCACCTGTCCCCTTTAGGCTGGGCATTGAGTTTTGGGTGCTACTCCCCAGCCCCGCTGTGGGGTGACGGTGCTGGAGGGGGGGAGATGGGTGCCCACCAGCTCGGGGACAGGGTGCCAGGGCCACTGCCAGCCTCAGCCAAGCCATCCCAGTGCTGCCCAGTGGGACATGGGTTCCCGGAGCCGGCTCTGACGGAGCAGTGGCCCTTTTCCGTCACGTGGGCCCGTGGCACAAGCCCTCCACTTTCCTTTTTTAGAATAGCTGGATCAGGGGAAAAAAATGTATTTTTGGAGTTTCATTTGCTTCAGCTTCAGAGTCTACTTCTTTTCCCCCCCCTCCTTACTTTAAATGGGCCAAAGCCCCTGTTTCCTGAGCCCAGCGCTCGGGGATGAACAGCCCTGGAGCAGCTCCCTGGGGACTCTTCCCCTGGGTCGGCTGTTCCCAGGTGGTCCCCGTGGCCCTGGCAGGTCCCCACGGTGGCAGCGGTGCTGGGGACAGTCTGGAGAAGCTCTGGTCCCCTTTCTGCAGCAGCAAAACTCTCCACGGTGTGGGACCCCTCATCTCCCTCCCTGCCTTTAATTAAGAGCCGGCAGGGCCGAGGTGGAGCCTGGCACCGAGCCCCACGGCTGCTCCCGGGCTCCCCAGTGGCTCCATGCCACCATCTAGGGGCAAACTGTGTCTCTGGTGGCTCAGCCACGGCCGTGGAGGTCTTGGCCGGGGGGCTCAGGCTGCAAGTGGGGGGCAGCACTGTGGGCTGGGCTCCCCTGGCTGCCCCAGTGCTCGGGTCCCCCGACCACCCTGGTGCCCTCACTGACGCTCTGCCCTTCCAGATTCCTCCTCGTCTTCAGCTGCCTGGTGCTGTCGGTCTTCTCCACCATCCAGGAGCACCAGAAACTGGCCAACGAGTGCCTCTTCATCCTGGTAAGTGATGCAGGAGCAGGGCTGGGGCTTGAATTCCCCCTCCCCACATTGTACCCTGAAGGACTCGGTCAAGATCACGGACAAAACTCCTCCGACCCTTTCCCAGCCCGGACGTCCCCGATGATCCAACGATGGCAGCCTCTGTGGCACGCTGGGGTGGAGCTGGGGGTGGCCTTGTTGGGGGTGTCCCCACGGCTCAGGGGGGGTCCATCCCGCCACAGTCCCTCTGTGCTGCAGAGAGGCATCAACCGCTGGAAAAGGCAGGGCAGGAGGGGCTAAAAAAGGCAACTTTCCCCCAAACTGTCAGAAAGAGCTGACGCGGGACTTCTCCCGAGTGATGGAGACTAAATTGGGAAGGTCCTTGTGACTTTCCTGCGAGTAAGCAGAACGGGGGCTTGTTCGTGCGAGAGGTAGGAGGACAATGCTGACGGTGGAGGAAAAGGACCCAGCTCAGAGCGAGGCAGGAGAGCCGGGACGCTCAGACAGCCCCGACGGCTGCGGCTCCCGTCTCACTGCCCCCGTTCCCCCGGGACGGCTCCCGTGGCCTTGGGGGGACACCATAGCACTATTTCAGGTTGTGCCCCCCCAAAGCTGAGTCCCCCTGCCCCCCTCACCCCCCTCTGCCCCTCAGGAGTTCGTCATGATCGTGGTGTTCGGCATGGAGTACATCATCCGCGTCTGGTCCGCCGGCTGCTGCTGCCGCTACCGGGGCTGGCGGGGACGGTTCCGCTTCGCCAGGAAACCCTTCTGTGTTATAGGTACGGGGTTGTGCTGGTTTAAAGGTAAACCAGTAGGGGAAACGAACCCAACTCAAAAGAGAGGTTACAAGTCAGAGTAACAATTTAATGAAATAATACAATAAGTACGATTATACAGGCAAACGATTGGTTTTAACCCACAAAACCCCAAATGTATAACCCAGCACCCTGGGGCGTGGACAGAGTGGTGTTTGTTGGGCCCCCTGAGTCCAAAGTAAAGGGGGAGAGGGGAACACCTGTTGGTGAGAGTGCTGGTGCAGTCTGTTGAGAGTGGTGTTGCAGTCTGGTTGAGAGTGGTGGGGTGCAGTCTTCCTCTGGATCCCACAAGTGGTTAAAAAAGTCCCAAGACCCCAAGCTTATATATCCTCCAGTTCAGGCAGGAATGCCCAGTGCCTCCCTCAGGGCGGGGAGTTCCACACTGGGTGTGAGGACAGGAGCATCCTCCTATCTCTAAAAGGCCTCTTAACACCCAGTTTACAGCCTGAGGAGTCAGGAGTGCTCTGGGCAGAGGGTGTAAATGGTCTATTGATAACAGTTCCTGGGAAATGGCATGAAAGGCTATGGAATACACAGTTTTGGGTTACACCCACACAGCGACGAACTGGTCCCAGCTGTTCTAACTAGGACAGGGGTTTTGGGGGGATGGCAGCGTTTGGGGAAAAGCCCCACGCCCCTGACCTTGGTTTCCCCCTGCCAGATTTCATCGTCTTCGTGGCCTCGGTGGCCATCATCGCTGCCGGCACCCAGGGCAACATCTTCGCCACGTCTGCGCTGCGGAGCATGCGCTTCCTGCAGATCCTGCGCATGGTGCGCATGGACCGCCGCGGCGGCACCTGGAAGCTGCTGGGCTCCGTCGTCTACGCCCACAGCAAGGTGAGGAGGCCCCGTCCCGGCGCGGCCCCCGCGCCCCCCAACCCGTGCCCCCCTCACCCCTCGTGCCCCTTCCCCCCAGGAGCTCATCACCGCCTGGTACATCGGCTTCCTCGTGCTCATCTTCGCCTCCTTCCTCGTCTACCTGGCCGAGAAAGACGCCAACGTGCAGTTCGCCACCTACGCCGACTCGCTGTGGTGGGGCACGGTAAGCTCGGCCGCCGCGGCCCCCCGGCCCCGGGAGGGGGACGAGGAGGGTGGGATGGGGCCGCGGGGGGAGAGCTCCCTCCAGGCCTCGCCCTGCTCCGCCCCCGGGCAGGTCACGCTCACCACCATCGGCTACGGGGACAAGGCGCCGCAGACGTGGCTGGGCCGGATGCTGGCTGCCTGCTTCGCCCTGCTCGGCATCTCCTTCTTCGCCCTGCCCGCCGTGAGTGGGGCTGGGAGGGGGGTCCCTGCGCCTCGTGCCCCGCAGGAATTGTGGAGGAAGGGGGCAAACCCACCCCTGTGCGGGTGCCAGCCTCTGCCAGCACCCACAGCCCCCTCCCCTCCTGTCCCCAGGGGATCCTGGGCTCCGGCTTCGCCCTCAAAGTGCAGGAGCAGCACCGGCAGAAGCACTTCGAGAAGAGGAGGACTCCGGCGGCAAACCTGATCCAGGTAGTGCAGGGCTGGCGTGTCCTGCCCCGTCCCTTCCCAGGAATGCTCTGCTGTGCCCCCTCTCCTCCTCTGCCTGCCTCTGCCTGCTGCAGGGAGCACCCAGACCCCGTGTCCAGCACTTGGCTCCTTTGGGCTGGGCTCTGTGGTGGTGGGGGGGATGGAGGGGTCAGTGGGGGGGGTGTCTCACCTCCCAACTGATCCCGATTCCCGTGGTCTCTCTCCCCGCAGGCTGCCTGGCGCCTGTACTCCACCGACGTCAGCCGGGCGTACCTGACGGCCACGTGGTGTTACTACGACAGCCTGCTGCCCGCCTTCAGGTAGGCAGGGCAGGGGGCAAGGGCTGAGGGGCTCCTGGGGGGGTCTCTGTGGGGAGGAGCAGCCCAGGAGGGACCATGTGGAGCCGCCGAGGGCTCGGTGGGGTCGAGCAGCACGGACACTTTCCTCAGCCCTGGATCGCTGGAGCACAGCATCTGCTGGAGTGTCCAGCACCCTCCTCCACCCTCATCATCCTCACAGCACCCAGCACTCATCCCACCCTCTCGCCCCATCCATTGCCTTCCTCCAGCACCACCGTGGGGAACAGGACGGTGTCACCCACCACAGGGAGCCCCTGGCTGGGGACATGGAGCTGCAGCCGGATGGGAGCGGCTCCGAGTGTGGACCCAGATGGACATGGCAGGATCCAGTGGGAGCCCCATGGCCCATCCCTGCAGAGTTCTCCCTCCCATGGCCCCTGGGATGTAGTTGGGTGGATCAAAGAACCTCCAAAGCTTTTCCAGACTCTCTGTGTGTCCCCATCACCTCGAGCTCACCAGGGTTTGCCACCCCTGTGCCTCACCCCTGCCTGTGCATCCTGCCCTGCTCCACCCGTGTGTTCCTTTGCAGGGACAAATTTGTTCTTCTTCTGTTCCACTTTTTGTTTTTCCAAAGACAGGGCTCTTAACAGCCCCAACAGCGAGTCCCTCTGCTCCCTGACCGAGGAGGTGCAGCTTCCCGAGCATCACCACGGAGCCTGGGATCATGGGGGGCTTCACCTGCTGGGCCAGGAGCCACTTCCCCTGCAGTGGGGAGCTGAGATAGAGCCATACTCAATCCCTGTTGGATCTGAGCTTTTCCCTCCTGGCTACTCCAGCTGTGCCCAGACCCCTGGATCTGATGGTGGCAGGTTCCCATGTCCCCATCCAAGGGGTGTCCTGCCTGTCCCTGCCTGACCCATCCCTCTCAGCACAGGTCCAACCCCTCCTCTCTGTGGGACCCTATCCCAGCTCCCCCTTCCCATCCCCCCCAAGTGCCTCAACCTGCTATTAAGGAACTATCTTTTGAACAAAAATGTTGATTTTTTTTTTTTTCTTCTTGTTTTACCCTGGTTTTGCTTTGGTTTGTGCTCAGGAGGACCCGGCGCTGCTCAGCCTTGGTTTGCTTTGGAAAATTTAATTTCTCCTTGTTTTTATTTCGCCCCGACCTCAGAGAGCTGGTACTTATGTTTGAGCACTTGCACCGAGTTCGCAACGGAGGATTTAGGAACTCAGAGGTGAAAAAATTGCCCGACAGAGCCCCACCAACTTACCTCTCCTTCACCCCTGCCCAGAAAAGCCTGGCCACGTGTTCAGGGGAAAGGTAGGAGGGGGCAGCCCCCGTGTTCTCCCTCCTCTCTGCTCTGTCTCCTCTGCTCCTCTGTGTCCTCCTGCGATGCCACTGCAGTGCCATCACTGCCAGACCGGACCCCAGTGGTGCCCACCACCCCAAACTGGCCCTGCTCCCCGCTCAGGGCCCTGCTGGGAGTCCATCCTGCTCCTGGCACTGCTTCCAGCACTGCTCCCTGCTCCAGAGTGGGCACGTTTGGTCCTCAAGGAGAGACTCTGGGCTGTTGTATCTTTGTGAAGCCCCTTTTTTATGTGGCTCTGGCACAGGGGACCGGGCACAGGGGAACCAACCGTGGCAGAAAACACCCTGGCAGAGGCAGCACTGCCATGTTGTGGGGATGGGGCCATGTGGCCTCGCTGCAGAGCCAGGCAAGGAGCAAAACCCAGAGCCTGTGGTGTGAGGAGGGCTGCCCGTGCCCCTGGCAGTGGGAGCAGCGATGCTGAGCTGCCCCAGTGCCCACCAGAAGAGGCAAGAGGGGGTCAGGGCTGCCGTGCTGCTGGTGGTGGCTGCTCTGCCCCGTGTCCCCGGTCCCCTTGGCTGAAGAGCATCCTGGAGACCCGGTGTGCCACCGTGGCTGCTGGCCAACCACCCAGAGCACTGGCACATTGGCACAGGGCCCTGGGCCAGCAGCAGGGTGAGGTGGGGGGAGGCACCGTGCCTCGGTGTCCTCTGTGCTGCCACATGTGGCACAGTGTGGGTGAGTTTGGGCTCAGGGGGCTCCCTTGCAGCAGCACCAGCCTGGGTTCCGTGTCCCGGTGACCAGGGGAAGGACTGCACCCCCTTTCCGGGGGGCCCGAGCCCCCCCACCTCCTCCGCGAGCATCACCTCTCATAACATCTCATCTTCTCTCTCTCCTCCCCTCTCCTGCTCACCCCCCTCCTCTACATCCCTCCAACCTCCCCCCCCCCAAACCTCCCGTGCCCCCCCAAAGCTGGAAGGAGGAGGACGTGCAGCCCCACAAGTGTTTGCGGCTCAGGTAACGCTCGGCCCCGGCGGAGGGCGGGGACCGGGGGCCGCGGAGCCCCCGCGGGGTTCGGGGGGTCACCCACGCCCCGTCCCAGCGCTCGGCACCGCGTCCCGTCACCGAACCCTCCTGGCAGAGCCGCGGAACCGGAACAGGCGCCGCGTTTATGCAGGACCTACACAAACAATGCCGCCTCCCCCGGCAGAGGCGGTACCGCGGGGCTGGAGCCGCGGGCGATGCTCAGCGGTGGCACTTCGGGACCCCGCGCCCACGGGCCCGGGGGGTCGGGAATGTGGCCCGGGATGCTGCGCTCCCCCCCCCGGCCACGGCTGACTCTCTTTTCTCCTGTGTCTCTGCCCTGACCCTCCAGCCCCATCTTTAGTGGTAAGAGGAGGCTCTTGCAGACGTGGGGCACGTGGAGACGGAGGTACCGTGTCCTTGCTGCCTGCCCGCGCTGGCTGCCTGCCCATCCCGGCGGAGAGTGGGACCGGGAAGGGCGGGATGCATGGTGCTCCGTGCCTGGATGCCTGCTGACTGCAGCGTGGGGAGGGCTGGGGAGTGAGGCAGAGCAGGGGGAGGCCGAAGGGGGGGTCCTTCTGCAGGGCAGGGGGGTCTGTGCATGGCCTGGGCCCAGCGGTCTCTCCCCACTGTCCCCCACCGGCTCCCACAGCAGCCCTGCCTCAGTTTCCCCATCGTGCATCATGGATGGGGATGCCAAATCCAACCAACTGATGCACCCGGACTGACCCCATCCCCCCCCTGTCCTGCAGCCTGGTCTCTCAGGACAGAGCCATTCCCATTCTCTGGATCAGCAGCCTGCATGGGGAAGGGCTCTACCCCTACCTCCACCCTGCCTGTACCCCTGCCTTGCCCTGTGACTCCTGGCCCAGGAAATCCAGGAGTCTCCCCAGATGCTGGGATTCCACGGATCCTGTCCTGCAGCATGGGTGGGATTTGCTCCTTGTCCTCCCTGGCTTTGGAGTCCTGCCCCATGCATCCACTTGGCCTCCCGAGGCTCGAGCTGTGCTTGGGGTCCCAGATTGTGCAAAAGGCAGCATTCAGGGGATGTTTTTGTGTAGGTCCTACATAAATGATGCCTGGTGTTTCCCCCCAATCCAGTGGAGTGGCTGGTTTTGGGAGCAGAGCTCGTGTTAGGGCAGGAGCAGAGCCTGGATTAGGTGGTGCAGCCTGGAGGAGGAGGAGGAGGGTGCCGGGGGTGCCCTGTGCCAGAGGGGATGGAGCAGGAGCAGGGCTGCTCCCACCAGCCTCTGTCAGTGGCTCTGCCACATGTCCCCCACTGCCACACCTGTCTGTCCCCACTCTCCCTGTCTGTCTGTCACCTCCTTTCTCTCCTCTTGGCACAAAAAAAAAAAAGGTGTTCAGAGGAGTTAAACCCCAGAGCTGCCCCCACCGTGGTACCGCCTGCTCCTGGCCTGGCTCGTGCCCGTCGCGTGCCAGGGGGCTCTCCATGAGCTCAGCACGGCCGCCCCCGCCACGGTGGGCACCACGTGTGCCCGCTGTCCCCTTCCCCACCCCCCCGGTGACGCTGCCTCCCCCCCACCCCACTGTCCCCCCACAGCAACAAGATGGGGCTCAAGGAGCGGATCTGGCTGAGCAGCTCCCAGCGGCAGGGCAGCCGCGGCCGCCAGCAGCTGGGGCCCCCCCTGCACCGCTCCCCCAGCACCGAGGACGTGCCCGAGGCCACCAGCCCCACCAAGGTGCAGAAGAGCTGGAGCTTCAACGACCGCACCCGCTTCCGCGCCTCCCTGAGGCTCAAGCCGCGGACCCCGGTTGAGGGTGAGCCCTGGGACTGCTGGTGCGGTCTGGGACACGCTGGGGGGGCTGCAGGTGTTTGGGGGGGGCAGCCCTGGGTCTCTGCCATCCACCTGCTCTTGGCACCCGCAGCCGACTGCCCTCCGGAGGACAGCGGCGAGGAGAAGGGCTCCCACTGCGACCTGACCTTCGAGGACATCATGCCAGCGGTGAAGACCCTCATCCGGGCTGTCAGGTGAGACCGTCCCCTCCCGCACCCCCCGGGCACCTCCCTGTCCCTCCCCAGTGCCCCGCAGCCAGCCCGGGTGTCCCTGCAGGATCCTGAAGTTCCTGGTGGCCAAGAGGAAGTTCAAGGAGACGCTGCGTCCCTACGACGTCAAGGACGTCATCGAGCAGTACTCGGCCGGGCACCTGGACATGCTGGGCAGGATCAAGAGCCTGCAGACACGGTGAGGTGCCCTGGAGCTGGTGGGGTTCCCTGGGTCTCCCACCACCAGATGAGGTGCTGGCCCATCGCTGTGGGTGGGACACGTTCCCAGAGCCCTCTCCCCATTCCCTGTGGCCTCACACGCCCTCGAGAGTGACGGGCTCTGTCCTTTCCTTCCCTGCCAGCGTGGACCAGATCATGGGCAGGGGGGCCCTGGCTGTGGACAAGAAGGTGAGGGAGAAGGGGGAGAAGCCGGCGCTGGAGATGGAGCTGGTGGACGAGCTCAGCATGATGGGGCGCGTGGTCAAAGTGGAGCGGCAGGTCAGGAGGGGACACCCCCAGGGAATGTGCCCCCGTCCCTTTGGCACCCACGGGATGGGGGAACTGAGATTCCCGTGTCCCCTCCCACGGGGGAAAGCGGCTCAGCCCTGCCCTGCCCACCCTGCAGGTGCAATCCATCGAGCACAAGCTGGACCTGCTGCTCGGCCTCTACTCCCAGTGCCTCCGCAAGGGCTCCACGAACTCCTTCAGCCTGGCAGCCGTGCGGGTGCCGCCCTGCGAGCCCGACATCACCTCCGACTACCACAGCCCCGTGGACCACGAGGACATCTCGGCCTCCGCCCAGACCCTCAACATCTCCAGGTCGGCCAGCGCCAACATGGACTGAGCGGGAGGCAGCGGGATGGATCCTGCCCACGCGGGATGGGGTGCCGGGAATGCTGTGGCACCACCGGCCCTGCCCAGCCCTGGCCCTCGCCGTGTCACTTGAGCCAAGTCTTCCTCTGCGGGGGCATGGTTGCAGCAGGGTGCCCACTCTGGGGGCACAGTGGGAGCCCATGGCATGGCCAGACCATGCTCTTGGGATGCTCCTGCCCTTCCTGGGGCATGAAACACCCCCCCCAGCTCCTGAGGCCCTGAGTGCTCCCCAGCCAAGGCGGGGAATGCTCCAGGCTGGCCCAGTCTCCTGGGGTTTGGCTCGTACCCCAGTCCCAGCTCTCAGGACATGTCCAGCTCCCCAGTGGGGTCCTGCCTGGTCCCCCCCGGAACTGAGCTGGGATCACCACCAGCTATGCAAGGTCCCACCTCCCTTCTGCTGCCGGTGCCGAGCGGGGCTGTGGGGGCACAGCCCAGTGTGGTTTGACCTGCATCGCTCGGGGTCAGGGCAGCAGCAGGGCCCCCCCTGTTTGGGGAGTGGGGGTCTGTCCCCCCTCACCAGGCTGCACCTCTCTAGAAGCACAGCAGAGCCTTCTGCCTGCCCGTGCATGCTCCCAGGGCAATATATATATAGAAGATATATATATATATATATTTATGCAATAATGTCTTAATATGCAACACCCCCGGGAAGAGCAACCTGAGGGGACATAGGCAATAAGCAACCCCCTGCCAGCTCACAGGGCTGGATCCTGCTGCCTGTGGGGGCCCTGGAGGTCCTGGGGGCTTGGGGCCAGGTGAAAAACCTTCCCCCAAGGGTGGCCCTGGAGCTGTGAAGCTGGGCAGGGGCTGTGGAGGAGGCAGGGATGCAGGCACAGGCGCTGTCCCCAAGGAGCATCCCTCCCTCTCCTGCTCTTGCTTAGAGGATTCCCTCCCTGCCGGGTCCTGCGGTGCTCAGTTTGTCCCTCCCCGTGTCCCTGTCCCCTCCGTGGTCCGGGGAGCATGGGCCGGGCCTGGGGGGGTGACTGCCTGGTGGGGACAGGGGGATCTCCTTGCATGTCACCTGCAGCAGAGCCACAGCAGCTCCTGTGCTGCTCCAGTCCCGGGGCTGGTTTCCAGTCCGGCAGCGCTGGGCTGAGCTGGGCTGGAAGCGATTGTGGTCGTGCCAAAGTTTGCCAGGCTGGAGCTGGCGGCAGCTCCTGCCCAGCCGGGGGTCCTGGGGGGGTGACACCCGCGGTGAGGGATCTGCCCTGCCTGGCAGGATCCCATCGATCCCCTCGCTGCCAGTGCAGCCCCTCTCTGGGATTCAGACCCTTGCATCCTTGCCCGGCCGTGCCTCTGCTCCTGAGAGTGGGGACCCCCGACCCTGCTGCCTCCTTAGTGCATGTGGCCAGCACGGGCCGTGCCAGAGCTGCTTGCAGCCCCCCCACCTTGCTCCTGCACCGCCCTGGCCCCCTCCCTTCGCCCCGGGGGTGGGACACGAGGGGAGGGTGGGGTGTCGGGGAAGGTGGGTGGGTGCCGGGGGGTGCCCGGCCGCGGGGCGAGGGTGCATGTGACAGCTTTGCCCGCAGCCGCACGCAGGAACTAACTCGTAGGACCCTCCCCCGGGGCTGGCTGGTCCCCGCAGACCTCCCGAGCCAGCGGTAGTTACCTCACTTGATTAACTTATTAACTTATTTGTTTCATTAAAATTTGGAGTAGAGGCTGCCTTGCCTGCTGCCGACTCTCTCCCGGCTCTCCCGAGAGGTGGCACTCCAGCCCCGCCGCCGAGCCGTGGCCGGGGGACAGGAGCGTCCTGCCAGGGGACACGGGCGCCCGGCCAGGGAACAGAGGCATCCGGCCGCCTCCCTGACCCCCTGGGGCTCCCCGTGAGCTGCACCAGCCCCCCCCGCAGTGGGATCGGGGCCCCGGCTCCAGCTCCATCGCCCTCCTCAGCCCCGTCACACCGCGTGCCTGGGGGGTGCGGGCCTGATGCCACCGCAGAGGGGGCCCGTGCCCTGCTTTTGGCACCTCGTGGGGTCGCTGTGCCCCATCTGCCTCTTTGGAAGTATCACAGTGTGCCCCCTCCTCAAAGGGGATGACTCTGTGATGTCCCCAAAGCCATTCCAGGGAGGTGAGGGTGTGAGCCCCCTTCCCCAGGAGACCCCAGTAATCCGGGAACAGTGAAGCCTTGGCCCCATCCCTGTGTTCTGGCACCCTGCAGAAAACAAGTCCCCCAGCCTGCAATGTCAGGGGGCTGGGGAGGCCCCTTCCCGTGCCTCTGGCTGGGGAGGAAGCCGGGGCTGGCTGCAGGTCAGTCCCTGCCTTTCCTGGCTGCCTCTTGCCAAGAAATTTGCTCCTGGATCGTCTTGGAGCACGGAGAGGAGTGGGCCGAGCACTGCAGAGGCCAGCACCTCCTTGCCCTGACCGTGCCGGCCCCACTGCCCCCAGAGCTGCCCCAGCCTGCTGGGATGGGGGTCTCAGGGTGACCCTGGTACCTGGATTCCATGGACTGCCCTGTGTGTGGGGCACAGTCCCTGGGGTTTGCCTTTGAGGGGGATCCAGGATGTGACAGCACCCTGAAAGCCACGGTGGCACTTCACCGGCCTCTCCCATCATTCCCAGCCAGCTGAGTGGCTTTTCCGGGTGGGTTTGGAGGGAGGCATCCCTCCAACAGTGGGATCAACACCCTGCCATGGGCTGTACATCGCTGGGTGCTCCCCACGGGGGTGGCAGTGGGTGCAGCTCAGCAGAGCCTGTGTGTGTCTGTGCTGCTCCGTGGGGACGGCCCACCTGGGTGTGGGGCTTTTCCACGGCTCTGTGGGGTGGGGATGGGGTCCTGGGACCTGCTCCCTCCCCCGGCGTGGCTGGAGGTGGTGGCAAAGGCAGGGCAGGCGGGCGTGCCAGCCCCTGGCACTCGGCTCTGCCTCCCGCGATCACATGGGCCCAAGGTGCCCCGGCAGGACTTTGTCCCCCTCCACTGGGTCTGCCCCGCGTGTGCCAGAGGCTGCCACTCCCCGGAGAGGGGACACACGTGAGGGAGGACGCCAGCGTCAGAGGGACACGGGGAGCCGTGCCCCCGCGGTGCCAGCTGGCTGCATCCCGCCGGAGCGACGCTTGGCAGGCGGAGCAAAGCCCCGGGAAGGGGGTGAGGGGGTGCTCCAAACACTTGGACTTGTCGCCGCTCCCGCCTCCGCACACCAGCTCTTATCAGCTGGCGGGGGGGCAGCGCTGTCACGGGGATGGGAAGGGGCCAGCTGTTCCCGCAGCGCCCCACGGCGTCCTGCGGGCTGTGCCAGGGGGCTGGCGGGGGAACAAGGACGGGCAGCGGCGGTCTGGGATGTCCTTTGTGCCAGTGGCTCTGCTTTGTTCCCGAGGGTCTTGGGGAATTTGTGAGTCACTGCGGATTCCTCTCTGTCCAGTCACGGAGCAAGTGTGCTTGGAGACAGCCGGACTCTGGGCTGGACGCAGTTCCTTCCTGCGGCGCTCCAGCCCCAGCGCTGCCCAAGGACACATTTACAGGAAAAGGCCCTTCCAGGAGCTCTGGCCGCGCAGCCGGGGCGGGGGGAGGATGTCCCTGCAGACGGGGCTCCTGCAGGACCCTCGTTCGGGCACCCAGCGCTCCCTGGGGTCCCGGGGAGCAGGCGGCCCTCGTTCCCAGTGGGATTTGGTGCTCCCCGTGCGTGGATACATGGGGTGAAGCACACCCTGAGCGCGGCACCCGCCTCAGGGCTCAGCCAGGAGCCCTCCAGCCACGGCCACGCAGGGAACCCCGCTCCCCCCGCGGTGCTCCCGTCCTGGCTGCCATGAGGCATCTTCGAGGAATCCCTTGGCAGCGCCGGGAGGTGCTCCCGGCGGGGCAGGGACAGCAGGAGCCCCGGCGTGGGCGGCTGGAGCCCCGCAGCAGGTGCTGGTGCTGCGGAGGGAACCAAAGCCTGGGGGGTGGCCAAGATCCCCCGTCCTCGGTCCCCGAGCACAGGGCTGGGTGCTGGCAGCGGGGACAGGGGGATGGCTCCGAGTGACACCGACTCCGTGCCCTGGGCTGTGACGGGGTGTCCCTGTCTCGCTCGTATCCAGCTTCCCGCTGGAAGGGGGAGGCACGCAGCTCCCTCCTCTCTCTTCCCCTTCTCTCCACACACCTTGCCCCGGAATGGGGAAATCCCCCACGATGGATCCCCGGGAACCCCCTGGACGGAGCAGGGAGTGCTGGAAGGGCAGCCGGGACCCCCCATTTTGCGAGGGCACCGGCGGGGAGTGGGGGCACGGGGAGGGGATCAGGATCCGGGGAGACTCCGGCCCCGCGGAGGTGTCGTCGGGGACCCCGGGCGGGGGGGCGACCAGTCCGGGGCTCTGTCGCCCGTCCCGCCGGGAGCCCCGGGCCCGACCCCCGCCCCGCTGCGCTCCGCCCCGGCCGGTCGCGGCTGCCCCGGCGCCTCCCCCGGCGCCCCCCCGGCCGGGGCGCGGTTATAAAGGAGCGGCGGGGCCGCGGCGGCGGCGGCGGAGCGGAGCGGCGGGCGCGGCAGGTACGGGACCGGGAGGGAACGCTGGGGACCCGGGTGCGAGGGGTGGGGAGAGGAGGGAGGGTCCTGCCCCGTAAGATCCCTGCGAGACCCTCGGATCGGACCCCCCACCCCTCTCGGGGGACCCCCCGCGTCGGGCGCGGCAGGTACGGCCCGGGGACGGAGCGGGACGGGCCCGGGCGGGACGGGGGGTCCTTCCCAGTGCCGGATTGCCCTCCTCCCGCCACTTTCGGGGTCCTCGTCGCCCCCCTCGGCCCCGCGGGCTGAGACCTGGGAGCTCATCGCACTGCCCGCGATGGGAACTGGGATTGGGGTTGGGAACGGGAGCCGGGCACCCCCCCTGGGTGTCCTGAGGAGCCCCATCCCGCGGGATTTTTGCTCTTGGAGCAGGTGGTTAAGGTGTGGGTGGGCAGGGGGCCCCTCAGATGTCCAGGAGTGGGCACCTGAGGGCAGATGGTGTTTTGGGGGTTGAGGGAACCCTGAGCTGTGTGGTCTCAAGGGGAGTTACAAAACCTGAATGTTTTGAGCGTCCTGGGGGAGGGCAGGGCGGGGACTCGGGGGGGTGGGGTGTGACCCAGCGGGACGGGTGGGTGCGGAGTGCAGGACCCCCGTGCCCTCAGTGCCCTCCCTCCGCAGCGGTGCCGGCGTGGGGACATGCCCGGGGACATGCGCCCGCTGCGGGCCCTGCTGTGCCTCTGGCTGGTGGCCCGGGCAGCCCTGGGCTCCCGGGTCCGCACCCGCCGGGAGCTGGGCCCCGGCTTGTACCAGAACGGGGTCTACGACGCCGGGGGGTCCTACTGCCAGCGGGGGGACGTCTGCTGCCGCGGCCGCGACGACGGCTGCACAGTGCCCTACCACGACACCCTCTGCTACTGCGACCTCTTCTGCAACCGCACCGTCTCCGACTGCTGCCCCGACTTCTGGGAATACTGCCTGGGCATCCCGGCCCCCTTCCCCAAAGCTCAAGGTGAGGCGCGCCCAGCCTAGCCGGGCAGGGGTCTGTGGGTGCCGGGGGGCGGCCCTGGGGTGCCCCATGTGCTGTGTGATGCTGCCGGTGATCCGTGGAGTGATGGAAGCGGCACCTTCACGGTCCTGATCTTGCTGGGAAGCGGCTCCAGACCCCTCGGAGCTGCAGGAACTGACACAAAGTGTCCGGGATGGGGATGGGCTCCGAGAAAAACAGGGCGGGGAGCAGGCTGTGACCCCGCAGCCTGTTCCCACAGCAGGACGTGCCCGCGGGGCAGAGCGTGGAGGTGAGGGGGACTCTATCCCAGCTTGCCCGGTCATGTCTGGGGCAGGCGGATGCTGGCCCTGACTTAACCCTCCCTGCAGCTGGGGCAGGCAGGGCGGCCGGGGGCAAGAAGGGGGCACAGGCAGCCCCCCCCCCCACAGCACAAGGCTCTCTCAGAAGTCCCTGCAGAGCAGAGCCAGCTCCCGGGTACAACCAGCCCCTTTATCCCTGTCCCACCAGGCTGTGCACAGTTAACCCTCCTGGCACCGAGCCAGCCCTGCTCCCACCCTGCTCCGTGGGGCACGAGCTGACCCCCACCACAGGTTTGGGGGTGCCAAGGTGGTGCCTGGCACCTGCCTGGCTTCAAGAACCATGCTTATTTTCCCCTTGGTACGTACTCCCTGGAACATGGGGGTGCTGGCGCGACCCCTGGCACAGCCAGGCACTCACTGGGGCTCTCTCCTCTCCCACTCAGGCTGTGCCCGTGCCGGACTCAACTATCCCACCGGAGCTACGTACCGGGAGAACTGCAACCTGTGGTGAGTGAGCAGCTCTGGCTTCCCATGCCATGCGGGCACCTGTGGCGTGCCACCGGCGTGCCACCTGCCTGGAGGAAGGTGCCAGGATCCCGTGGGTACCGCTGGCACGGCATGGGCACTCTTCCTGCTCGGAGGAAGGCGCTGGGGTCCCGTGGGGTCCTGCAATCAGCGGGGCTCGGCGGAGCGCGGGGCCCGAGCTGGGTGGTGGGAGCTGGTGCCAAATGCCTTTGTTCTGGCATTTTCGGAGCCAAGAGCCCAGGGCCTTGAGCCGCTCCCAAGTTCCAGCGCATGCCTGCGTGGGAGCCCTCGCTCCGCTGCGGCGGGATAACGCACGGCCGGGCCGGCTGCGGGCTCCTGACCTGCTGCCGGGGGGGGTTTGGCCTCGCTGGTCCGAGCCCGACTTGCCCAAGCCTGACGGGACGCGCCGGCAGCCGCGGCCGTGCCGTGCCAGCGGCCAGAGTCCGGCTCTGCCGCCTTCTCGGGAGCCCCAGGAGCTCGCTGCTTGAGCAGCGGGGGGTTTATCTGGGAACGCTGGAATTACTGGCATCCGGAGGTGGGGGATAGGGGAACCTGCAGGCGCAGAGCTGCCGGAGACAGGGAGCGAGCCCGGCGGGGCGATGCGGCAGATAAGGGCAATCAAAGGCTGCGTCTGGGGCGTGTGCAGGGCAGGAGCACGTGTGTGAGCATGTGTGTGCAGGCGTGTGCTGGGCTGCAGGTGAAAAGCCAGCCCGACTCTCCCCGAAGCTCCGGTGCTGCCTGGTGTTTCTTTGGGGCTGGAGGGGCCCCCTGAGCCCCAGGGGAAGGCCAGCGTGGTCCTCAGTCCATGCATTTGGATGGATGGTCCCAGCTGCTGGGGGGGCATCTCTGACCCATCAGTGCTCAGGGGGAATGAGGATCTTCTTCCAAACCCTCTTCCCCCGCAGCTGGCGCCCGGAGAGCAGGAATTTCTGCAGCACTTCACCCCAGCCCCTCTCCCTGCCTGGGTCCCTCGGAGTCTGGGGGTGCTGGCAGGGGGCAAACCCCGTGCCAGGGGGAAGCAGAGGGGGCTGCAGTGGGCACCCAGCTGGTGGCACCTTGAGGTGCTCCCATGGGAGTTCCCAAGGGTCACCACCCAGCACCAGGAGCACTCGGGGATGGAGGCAGAGCTAGGGTACAGGTGCTGCAGGCAGGATTGGGATTGGGGTGTCTGGCAGGACAGGGCTCTGGCCTCGCACAGCTCCATAAAAGGGAAGAGTGAGCCGGGATCTGGGCAGGAGGGAGCATGCCAAGCATTGCTCACTGCACGGGGGGAGCACAGCCCGGGGCTCCCCAGGGGACCCGGCACACCCCCCAGCCCGCCCATCCCGGGGCTCCCCGTGGGTGCCACAGGGCAAACCTGGCCACAGTGTCTCACTCAGGGGGGCATCCAGCCCTGACTCCCCTCCCCGGGCTGGCGTCCAAGCCCCTCTCTGATGTCTGGAGCCCTGGCAGCTTTTCAGCTGATTTTCTGTCCCATGCCCTGTCTGCCCTCTGGGCTCCAGTGGGGGCTGGGGCAGCGGGGAACAGCCCCCAGGGTCACCCAGAGGGCTGCCCACGCCTCCTGGCCCAGTCTCACCCTGCTCTGAGGTGCCAAGCTGTGCTGACCCCAGCCCTTGGTGCAGAATTAGCCCTGGCCCCTCGCTGGCTGCCCACGATGGCAGGGGGTCCCCAGCTTGCCAGGGGCAGCACCCACCCAGGGTCCCCCTGATCACCCTGGGGACACTGTCCCTCACATGCTGACTGTCCCCTCTGCAGCACCTGCGGCCCTGGTGGGCAGTGGCAGTGTGAGGACCACGCCTGCCTGATGGATGGGGAGCTGATCGACGCCGTCAACAGGGGCAATTTTGGGTAAGGACCTGACCCTGGGAGGATGAGGAAGGGGCATTCCACCCCTCGGTGCTTTCTGGGGTACCCTTGACCTGTGCCCTCTCCTCCCACTCAGCTGGAGAGCCACCAACTACAGCCAGTTCTGGGGCATGACCCTGGAGGACGGGATCCGGCACCGCCTGGGCACCTTCCGTCCCTCTGCCACCGTCATGAACATGAACGAGATGCACGTGAGTCCTCGGGTGGGAAACTGAGGCACAGCCCTGCCCATCCCACGGCTGGGCCCGGTGATTCCCCATCCCCTTGGCTGGTGATGTCCCCGCAGCGTCCCCACCCCTGGGCAGGGGCTGGTGGCAGGGAAGGGGCCGTGGCGGGTGGGTGCCTCAGGCAGCCCTCGTGTTTGGAGACAGCAGCTCAGCAAATTCCCCGGGACAATCCCCGGGCTGCCAGTGTTGTTTTTAACCCCTCTCCTCCGTGCCGGTTTCCCATCGGAAAGCCGGCCCTGGAGCTGCTGAGTCGGCAGAGCCGGCTGCGCCAGCACTTTGCCAGCGGGGTGCCTCTGCCTGCACCCAAAACTCGGGGTGGGCATCACCCGGGGGTGCTGGAGGAGCATGCATCACCCACAGTTCACACCCAGCACCGCAGTCTCGAGCCTGAGTTTAATTTTAGAGGCGCTTCCTGCGCTGGATGAGCCGGCTGTCGTGGCCGTGTCCTCCCCAGGAAGGCTGAGCCGAGCCCGGCCGGGGCGGGGGCACCGTCCCCCCCTCCGGAGCGGAAAGGCCGGGCGGGAGTCAGCGGCCAGAGGCCACAATGAGGGGCTGAGTCACCCAGGGCTGTGTGCTTGTGGTGGGCACCGAGGCCCTCGCTGGGGTCTGAGACAGGACACTCGGTGCTGCTGTTGTATGAGGAGCTGCTGGGACAGAGAAGCCCTTATTTAGGGAAAATTGCAGGATTTGGCTCCTCTGGGACAAGGAGGCACCCAAATCCCGGTCGGCCTCGGCCAGGGTGATGTCCCTGTCCTGAGTGTGGGGTTGGTGTCCTTAGTGTCCGCAGTGGGGCTGAGGTGGGGGACACTGATGCTGGTTGGGGACCCCTGCTCAGAGGATGCCCTGGGAGGTGCTGGGAGGGCTGGGATGGCAGGGGGAGGAGTGGGGGACCCTCGGGCTGAGCCCCCCTCGGCCGTGCCCCGCAGATGAACATGGACTCCAACGAGGTGCTGCCGCGACACTTCGATGCCGCCGCGAAGTGGCCCGGGATGATCCACGGGCCCCTGGACCAGGGGAACTGCGCCGGGTCCTGGGCCTTCTCCACGGCGGGTGAGGGGGACGGGGAGGGATGGGGGGGACGGTGGGGATGGGGACTAAACCTGCTGCTGGGGAGCAGAGCAGGGCCCGGGGAGCAGCTGCCTCACCCTGTCCCACCCTCGCTCCCAGCCGTGGCTTCGGATCGAATCTCCATCCACTCCATGGGACACATGACCCCCGCCCTGTCCCCACAAAACCTGCTGTCCTGTGACACCCGAAACCAGCGGGGCTGCAGCGGGGGGAGGCTGGATGGGGCCTGGTGGTACCTCCGCAGGAGAGGGTGAGTGGGGGTGGGGTGGGATGGGGTGGAGTGGGATGGGATGGGATGGGATGGAGGGCAGAGGGTGTTGTGAAAATGCTGTTGTGGGGATCCACTCGTGCGGGGGTGGGATGAGGGGGTTTGAGGCTCTGGTTTCCTGGGGAGAGCCCAAGAGATCCCCATGGGGATCATGACGGTGGGAGAGGGACAGAAGGAGCCCAGGTGGGATGGAGAGCGGGGTTTGGGATGGGGATGGGAGTGGGGTTTGGGATAGGGATGAAAGTAGGGATTGGAATGGGTGTGGGAGTGTGGTTTGGGGTGGGATAGGAGTGGGGGTTGGGTTTGGGGTGGGAGTGGGGATCAGAGTGGGGATGGGATTGGGTTTTGGGATGGGGATGGGATTGGGTTTTGGGATGGGGATGGGATTGGGTTTCGGGATGGGGATAGGAGTGGGGGTCAGGGTGAGGGTGGACCCGTCCTCATGCCCTTGTCCCTGTCCCAGGGTGGTGACAGACGAGTGCTACCCCTTCACGAGCCAGCAGAGCGAGCCGGGCCCGCAGCCCTGCATGATGCACAGCCGCTCCACGGGCCGGGGCAAGCGGCAGGCGACGGCGCGGTGCCCCAACCCCCGCACCCGCTCCAACGAGATCTACCAGTCCACCCCCCCCTACCGCCTCTCCTCCAGCGTGAGTGCCCCGGGCCGCCGGGGCGGGGCAGGAGCCCTTTGCTGTGGGGAGCGGGAAGGGGCTGGGCTCGGGGCGGTTTACCTGGGAAGGCCAACTTTGGGAAGTTTGAAGCTGGGAAAACCCCGCCGCTGAGCCCCCGGGGGAGCGGCTCCTCCGCCCGCCACCTCCCCAACACCCACCCGTGGGTGCTGGAGCGCCTCTGCCTGCGCTCCCCGGGGGTGGGGGGGGCCGTGCCGGGGGGTCCCGGCCCCGGTACCACCCGGCTCTGTGCTTGCAGGAGAAGGAGATCATGAAGGAGCTGCTGGAGAACGGCCCCGTGCAAGGTAAGGGGGTACCCCACCTGCGCACCCCGAAACTGGGAACTGCATTGGTTGGAGGGGATGAGATGGGGGGGAAAAGCCACTCTGCCTGGGGTGGGGGGCTGGTGTGGGAGCCGGGACCCCCCTCAGCTCTCTCCCTGCTCCGTGCTCAGCCGTGCCCGGGCAGTGCCGTGATCTCCCAGCCCCTGTGCCCGTCACGCTGCCCACCCCAGCGGGCACTGGTTGCTCATTAACTCCTGAGATTTAATCACCGTCTGGGCGGTTGGTTTTGTTTAACTTTACTTTTTTGTTTTAAACCACCTCTGAGCCGTTACGTTGCCCAGGGGAGGATCTGGCTGCTGCCTTCCCTCTTGTCCCCGGTGGTGCCTCTGTCCTTCGCCCTGGGGGATGTGGAGCCTCGGGAGCTGAGCTCATCCCTTGGGCCAGGGACAATGTCCTCAGACCTTCTCTCCCTTCCCACAGCCATCCTGGAGGTGCACGAGGATTTCTTCATGTACAAGAGTGGGATTTATCGGCACACACCAGTGGCTGAGGGGAAGGGGCCAAAGTACCAGAGACACGGGACCCACTCAGTCAAAATCACTGGGTAGGTGGGGGTGGCTCAGAGAGGGGACTAAAGGGGTGCAAAGAGGTTCAGTCTGGGTGGGAGAAGTGTCCTCTTTGGGTGTCCCCTTCCCTGGTGCAGGGTGAGGAAGCAGAGGAGGGAAGGAGGGTGCCACAGGTGACACGGGTTTGGGCTGCTCAGCACCCTCAAAGGGGGGAGGAGGGTTGGAGGCGCAGACCCCGAGGCGGGGAGCGGGGCCGGTTGCCCTGTGCCAGCATTTCCTTCCTCCTGCCGTGGCTAAATATACCTGCCTGCATTCCGGGAGAGGATGGAAGCGCCTCGGCCTAACCCTGGGGACCTGCCGGGGTCAGGAAACGAGCAGGGTCAACACAGCAACCCGCTACCACAGGGCTGGGAGGGGGGATCCCACAGTCTGGGGGCGCCTGGGGACCCCCCTCACCATCCTCTTCTGCTGCAGGTGGGGAGAAGAGCAGCTGCCTGATGGCCAGACCCAAAAATACTGGGTGAGTGTTCCACGTGAGTTTGGAGGGTGGGGGACTGACTCAGTCACGGGGTGCCGCTGCTTCCCCACGCACAAGTGGGATCCGGCTTGGGAATGAGGGGGCTTCAGTGGGCTGAGACACACCCCGTGCCCCCTGTGCAGACGGCGGCCAACTCGTGGGGCACGGCGTGGGGCGAGGACGGCCACTTCCGCATCGCCCGCGGCGTCAACGAGTGCGAGGTGGAGACCTTCGTGGTGGGGGTCTGGGGCCGCGTCAGCACGGAGGACATGCCCCACAAGTGAGCCCCCCGCTGCCCACGGCCCTCCCGCCCCGGGGCCCCCCAGCCCCACGCCCGTGTGCTCGTCCCCAGCACCGCAGCCCCTCCGTCCCCTCCTGGGGGGAATGGGGGGGACCCCCCCGTCCCAGGCCGGGCAGGGGGCTGGCGCTGCCCCCCGGGTCCCCTTGGCGGGGGCTGCGTGTCCCCGCCGTGCTGACACAGCGGCTGGGTGCAGCGGGGCGTGCGTGGGGGTGCCCCCGGGGGCTGCTCCCGTATCCCACGGGATTTACCCGCTAATCCCCCCGCCCCGGGCTCGGCTGGGCTGCGGTGGCGGCGGGGGGCTCTTCAAAGGCAGCTGCACCCCCACCCCCGGCTGGCGCTGGTGGCTTCCCCCCCTTCTCCCAGTGGATGGGGAGCGCTGCAGCGGGACCCCCACACTCCTGCCCCTCCATCCTACCCCCGCCCAGGCTCAGCCCTGGCAGGGAGGGAGGGAGGTGTGGGATAACCCAGTGGAGCTTGGAGGGGGGGATCCTCTGAGCCCCCAGGGCTGGCTGTTGCCAGGTTGGGGTCCCCACCGTCCCCCCCAGCCCGTCCCTATGGTGCTATGGCCCCTGCCACCCCCCTGGGGACAGCGGGCACAGGGGAGGGCTCAGCCCCGCCGTGTCCCCGTCCTGGTGGGGCCACAACTGGGGGCCACGCAGCAGCACAGCCCGTGACCACCCCCCACACCCCGTCCCCGTCCCCCAACACAAGGGCTGTACTTTTAAGATTTTTTTTTTTTTTTT